AGTAAAGAGACTAAGACATAGATGTACTTCTGGGAACCCCTCAGAAGAGGGGGAATATGGCCCACAGAATCAACTAAGCAAGGCTCATAGCGTCTCACAGAGATTGAAGTGACAATCATGAGTCCGCATGGAGCTGAACTAGGTCCTCTGCATATACGTTATGGTTGTCTCTGACACTTTTGCTTGCTCTTGGGACCCTTTTCCTTCTACTGGGTTGCCTCAGCTAGCCTCAATATGAGTCTTATTGTAACTTGTTATGTGTTTGGTTGATACCCCTGCGAGACCTGCTCTTTTCTGAAGGGAAACGGGAGGAGAAGAGGATCTGGGGGAGAGGGAAGGTTGGGGGGTCGGGAGGAGTGGAGAGAGGGGAAACCGGGGTTGGGTGTATTGCACGAGAGAAGAAAAGATATGTAGATGTTACTTATTTAAGTGCATGTTGTGTGCATGCTCTGAAGTCAGAGGATGACACGGGTTCTGCCCACTTTCTGCCTTTTCCCCTTGAGACGGGTTGTGTCTCTGAACCGATAAGTAGGCAAACCCCAGCAACAACCTTATCTACACCACTCACATTACTGGGGTTATAGGCACATGGGTGGTTATGCCCCGCTTTTTACATGGGTGTTAGGATCTGAATTCAGGCCCTCATGCTTTTGTAGAATGTACTTTTACTTCCTGAGCCATCTCTTCAGCCCTGTAGATTAAAGTTTGGACTTTTAACGTTTAAAGTTACAGAGATAAAGATCTGTACATAAATTAAAAAATACTATCAATAAAGAAAAAAAATGTCCTTGAAGTCAAATTTGTTTTAGGAATTTCAAAACAGGAGTTGAGGGCTACAAGACTACCTCAGTGGTAGAACATGTGCTCAGTGTGTACAAGACCCTGGATTTGAACCCAGTACCAACAGAAAAGGTAAGACCTTTGAAATGACCACTGGCTTTAACAACAGAAATGGTGGTGGCTGGGAGGAGAGTTCAATATTTATTTATTTATTATGTATACAACATTCTGTCTACGTGCATGTCTGAAGAGGGCACCAGGCCTCATTACAGATGGTTGTGAGCCACCATGTGGTTGCTGGGAATTGAACTCAGGACCTTTGGAAGAGCAGGCAATGCTCCTAACCGCTGAGCCATCTCTCCAGTCCCAGGAGAGTTCTTTATAAGATGGGCGATGGGCTATTTGGACATCACTAAGATACACGTGCTCCTAGACTAGAGCCAGAGCTGGGTACCATGTAGGGGAAGACCTCTAACGATCTTCAGCCAGGGCGTGTCGCAGCCAACATGGTGGTAGTGAGGGCTGGGGGAAGGTATCAAGATGGCCAATTTGTCTGAGTTTCACATTCATTCAGAGTTACACATTTAAACTGTTGATGCTTTTTGTTGTTGAGATCCTTTGGAAAGAGTGTCTTTTGGTCGTCTGCCTGTGCACGGTGCCTGGTTCCCACCCCATGCAAGAGCTCCCAAGGTGCTGAGTAAGAGGCAAACCAGAACGGAGGACTCTTGTTCCACACAGAGCTGCACTCCATACTCTGGGAGCCCCCAAAAAGCCAGCTGAGAATGTTTCAACTCAAACATGGGAGTATAGTGCCACCCCATGGCCATGCATGGTTAAATTCTCAGGACCATCCCCAGGACTGAACTGGCAAGTGTAGTAGCCACACCTCACACGCTTCAATTCTTCACATTCCAAAACTGATCTCTATAGATGAAATTCAGGCAGCAGGAGACTCAGGGCCCTCTAGGGTTGTGGTCAGTACAGCGCTAGCCTAGCATGCACGAAGTTCTCTGGTCTTAATCCTCAGCCCTAGGAAGTAGAGGCAGGAGGATCAGGATTTCAACTTCATATAGTAAATTCAATGCATCTTGGGCTTAAAAAAAAAAGCTGCATATGGTAGTGCTCACTTTTAGCCTCAGCACTCAGAAGGCAACGGCAGGCAGGTCTCTGAGTTCCAGGAGGCCAAAGATGCATAATAAGACCTTACTCTAACACCACCCACCTCTACAAAGGCTGACTCCTAGGTAATTCTTAAAACCCATTCAAATATATAGTCCCTTCTGTCCAGAACTAGTCCTGCAGACTGGATTGTACAGGAGGCCTTCTTGTGTCCCAGGAGGCAGTGGCCTTTCCTGATATTCACACACACAAGGAAACTAACTGTCTAGCAAGTTTTATTGACAGAGACAGACAGGTAGACAGAGAATGTAACAGAAATGTCTGGAAACGGAGAGGTGTGCACATACACTAAAGGCTTTTTTGGACTTGGGTGGCTCCTTGGACCCAGGATTCCTTCTCCAGGCCCTCTCCTTGGGGGCGGGTCCGAGGCTGAGGCCAGCATTTTCCTTACACTCCCAACAGGGATCTGTGAGAAGGAAGACCTTCCCTTCAGCATTCTGTACATTCCTCTGCTTTCCCAGCTGAGCTGGGTGCTGAGGGCATGGAGGACAAGCCAGAGGGCACTTGCATAGCAGGGGAGTGGAATGGAGCTAAGGCATATGGTGAGGGAAAGGGAGATGAAGGGAAGGACATCATGGCTGCCGGTGAAGGGGGCCTCCCAGGGGCAGCTCCACTTTCCTTCGCCCGAAATCACTACTGGATTGAGGCATCAGAGTGAGGAAGAATATAACATCCACCCCAATCCTTAATCCCAGAGCCCTGAATGCCAGCAGGAAGCTCCGGAAAAGCCTGAGTCAGTGAGTCAAGCTTGTGACAGGTGTTCAGACGTGACTGGCTCCCTTGGTATATATGTAGGGACCCTCTCTGGATGGATGGGAGTGCATGACCTTACAGTACATACAAATCTTAGCATCTCTATGTGTCGCATTTGCTCCCAAAAAGCTGTATCTGGATGTATAACTATGTATGTCCTTCCTTGTACAGCAGGAACTTAATATGCATGGTATATGCTTCTGTCTGTGCACATAAGTTCCAGCAAGTAGATGAGTGTGGTCCTGTCCGCTCCTGTCCATCCACAGGTCTTCCTCAGTCCTGGCTGGTCAGGGGTCTTGGCCAAAGAGGTAGGTGGTAAGCTCAAGCCGGAGGCCCCGAGCATAGGAGCGAAGGGTATAGAAGAGGGTGAGGAAGTCCTGGGTGCTGAAGACAGTGTCAGCCAGTGCAAAGGCCAACGTGGATGGAATGACACCTCGGCCGTACTCCACCATCCATGTGTTTGGTCCCCACTCCACAGCCGTTGCCTCTCCAGGTCCATGCACAACTGTCTCACCTGGGGGACAGACAGGAAGTATCCTCATGAGGAGCCCAGCTCTGCCCTTTCCATGGCCTATGTGCTCTCTATGTAGAGGTGAAGAATGAAAAGACAGTTTCAAGAAAGGAAGAAAAAAAAAATTGGCCTCGCTGTCTAATCAGAGGGGGAAGAGAGACCAAAAAACGCCCACTCCTAAATATCCCATGGCAGCATTACCTGGCCCATGTACTCTCTTGGGGAAAACTATGGAGGGCTACCCCACCCAGCTACAGGCTAATATACAGAAGCTATGGGTATTCGCAAGTCTCACTCATATAAAGCAGAAATACTGTTAACCCCTGAGCTGGGCTAATTTGACAGGGGGCGGGGCTACAAGGCTTGCCAGGCTTTTCTGAGAAAGGCAGCTGTTTGATCACAAAGTTTAATGATTAGCCTTACACCGGCAAGTTCAAATCTTTTCTTTTAAATGGATGCAGAAGTCCGTTTAAAAAAAAAAAAACAAAACAGGAGTTGGAGAGATGGCTCAGTGTTAAGGGCACTTGGCGGCTCTTCCAGAGGACCCACACCCACATGATGGGTCACAACATTTTGTGACTCCAGTCTCAGGGATCAGACGCCCTCTTCTGGCCTTTGAAAGCACCAGGCACTGACTGAAGAGGTGCAGACACACAAGAAGGCAAAACACCCACACACGTAAAAGTAAACAAACATTTGAAAAACAACAACAAAATTACAAACCCCTCAACTGTCTCACTAGGTTAAAAAGAAAGATGGGAAACATTTCAGAATCTTCCAAACAATTGCTGGAATTATGGCTGTGTAAAACAGGCCGATAAAAATCAGTTCCCTAGGAGGGAAACTGCCTTGTTTTGTTTCCCTTTAACCAATGAAAGCGACAAGGTTCCTCCTCAGGTCTATCCTAACCAAACACCTGTGGCTTACTGGAGGGAAAGAAGGAATAACTGTGTAGGCCTTCTCAGGACGCCCTTTCCTCGCATTCTCGGCCTTTCCCTAGCCTAGAGGGCGCCCCCTCCGATATAATTTCCTTACCTGGGTAGAAAACTTCACTTTTCGTGGTGCCCTCTCTCCACTGGTGGAAGGTGCCAGAGATGATGGTGTCAGAAATCTCAGCCCAGTACCGCCCTGAGTGACAATAAAATAGACACCGCCCATCAGGGTATCCTAGTCAGCACACCGCCCAGCCAAACCTCAGAATAGGGGGCTTCGGCCCTCGAACAGCCCCAGCCTCCCAACCCGGCCCACTGCCAGCACTGACCCGAATGGCCACGGGAGCCCAGGGCGGTGCCGAAGAGTAGCACGTACTCAGACAGCGAGGCGTGCAAAAGACACATGGCGCCCATCCAGCCGCCCGCGTTCACAAACACCCACTGCAGCTCCTCATCCGGCAGCACGTGGCCTGGGTGCAGCCTCCGCAGCTCCACGATCAGCCGGGAGAAGGCCAGCTCATGATCCAGTCCTGATGCAAAGAGGAGTGGCGTGGGTGAGACCAGCCCCCGGTCGGGGCTCGGCGGGGAAGGAGCCCTCGGGAAACGCAGCTCCGTGCCGCTCCAGGCCGGCCCACCCGGCTCCCCGCCCTCACCAGCCCTCACCAGCTCTCACCAGCGTACTGTCGAGCAAGCTGCGCTATCTCTTCTCGCTGGAAGACGAAGCTCTGCGTACCCAGCCATTGCCAAACGGCCTGGGTCAGCACCGCGACAGCAGCCAGAAATAGGGCGATCCATACCCACCGCCGGCCCACGGCCCACTGCATCCCAGCGGGCATCCTGGCACCAACAGCGTAGGAGAGAGCTACCGCCTCAGGTTAAGCACATACAGACTCAAAAACCGCTGCCCACGGTCGCCCCCGCCACTATGGTACGGCTCGCCTGGGCCAATCGGAACGTCCGGGGCACCTAGCACCGCCCTCTGGATTGAACCATTTTATGACGGGGAGAGCATAGGTTGGGTGGCGCGGTCCTAAGGAGAGGTGAGGGGGCGGGACCGTGCCTCCTGGCTGTAGCCCTAGAGTTTTCTGCCCTGGTCCTCTGGTACCACTTTCTGTGGGGAAGAGCTGCGGGGAAACCCAGAATGGTCTGACTCACCTGGGCTGGCGGTCCCAGAAGTAGAACTTTCTAGAACTCGTGATTGCTAGCTCAGAAGCGGGGAGAAGATAGTGCCACTGGAAAAGGCCACGTGAAGTGTTTATGAGATAAGGGCTTTTGCAGCTGATGGGACTCATTCCAAGAGTCAAAGAGGGAGGAGTATGTAGATATATTTGTAGATAGGGTCCCACTACGTAGCCCTAGCTGGCCTGGAACTCGCTGTGTAGACTAGGCTGACCTCTAACTTACCGGGAGCCTCCTGCCTCTCTGCCTTTCCCGTGCTGGGATTCAAGGCATACACCGCCATGCTTCTTTAGCATAGTATTTTCTCTGAGCCTACAGTTCATTCTATGTTCTGAAACACAAAAATACGAAAGGCCTTGTAAACCACTAAATTTATCCACTGGGGAGCTATGGGATTCAATTTTGCCACATAATGGTACTAGGCTGCATTTGGAGGGGAGCAAAATTGGACTAGAGTACAAGTAAGAGATCCGTCTTTGTCAGTACTACCTAGAGAGAACTTGTTTCACTAAATAAATTAACTAACTCTGGGCACTGCCCAGATGTCTCAGCATTTAAGAGCATATATGGACAGCTTTATCAGTAACATAGAATAAACGAATGAAAAGTATCTGCTTCATAGTCTATACATTTATTATGATGATTATTAAATGACTCAATATCTTAAAGTGATTAGTGCCTGGCACATGGTTAGGCTCATATGTGTTAGTTAGAAAAAGACACCATAAGGCTGGGAGTGTTGGCACACGTCTGTAATGGTAGAACTTGGGAAATGAAGGCACAAGTAGTTCAAGGTCACCCTTAGCTACAGAGTCAGCGTAGGTCACAGGAGACAGCAAGAACGGCCACAGAAGCCATAAAGACCTAGAAAAAATTAGCCTTATACACAGAAGTGAGGGAATGAAGGATCACAGTAGTCAAATGTAACTGAGGGACTCAGGAAACACATGGGAATGGCCATCAGATTCTTCAGTAGGAGTATGGGGCAGCGACATTTCTTTTTGCTCTCGAGCAATCAGAGTACATTCCACAATCTCCACTGCAGTCAAATAGGGCCACATGCCATGTGATCTTATTCTGGGCAATAAAATGGGAGCAGAAACACCGTATAACATTTATTTCCAGGTCTAAGTCGGGCGGTGGTGGCACACGCCTTTAATCCCAGCACTCGGGAGGCAGAGGCAGGTGGATCTTTGTGAGTTCGAGGCCACCCTGGTCTACAAGAGCTAGTTTCAGGATAGGCTCCAAAGCTACAGAGAAATCCTTCTCGGAAAAAAAAAAAAAAACCAAAACACGGGGGGGGGGCTGGAGAGATAGCCCAATGGTTAAGAGTATTGACTGCTCTTCCAGAAGACCTGGGTTCAATTCCCAGCACCCATGTGGCAGTTCACAACTGTCTGTAACTCCTGCTGCAGCAGATTGGACACCATCACACATACATGCAGCAAAACCACCAATGTATAAAAAAAAATCCAGATCTAGTTTCTAAAAGCATGCAAACTCTTGGGGCTGGAGAGATCACTCGATGGTTGAGAGCACTGCTGCTCTTCCTGAGGACCCTGTTTGATGGCCAGCATGTGCATGGTGGCTCACAATTGTGCGTAACTCCAGTTCCAGTGGCGCCAACGCTGGCCTCTGTGGGAACTGAGTGAACACACGGTGCACTGACATACATGCACGTAAAACACCAATACACATAAATTTTAAAAAACCGTGAAATTCTATCACCCCTCCTCTTTTTTTCACCTTTGGCCAGTTAAAAAAAGGCCTATTGTTGTGTGACAAAATGTCTCCTGGGGAGATACAAAACACAAGTCTACTCCCCTCAGACGGGGAACCCACGACAGACCAAAGTACAAAAAGCACCAAAATCCAGTTTGGGGAACCAATGTGTTTTATTGGGGTTACTTATGGGAGCAAAAATGTCTAAAAGACATTTGCATCACCAAAGCCCACTCCAACAGGGTTGACATCTCAAAAAAGCTGGGAATCTGAAGCACACTGCACAGCCTGCAGGTAGTTCAGCAGGCTGAAGAGCGTCATTTCCAAGTAACTCAGTTGGTTCAAATCTTTTCCAGGCAGCTTAGCTGCTTTCTGCTTCTTCCAGGGAACTGGCTTACTCTTCAGAGTTTACTTTGCAGCTCAGCTTCACTTTGGCTAAGAGAGACTCCCAGCTTTTATTGCTTACTATGGCAAGGTGGGGCCTAGTGAATTTGGTAGGTTTCAGGGACTTCCTGAAATTGGTTTGAGTTGTTTACCTTCCTGCTTAAGGAGCTTCCTTTAGGATGGGACGTTGCAATCCTAGGAGGAAACTGTTACACAACACCTATTATGATGTCTGTTCTTGTCTGTCAACTTGACTACACGTGGAATTTACTAAAACCCAAATGACTGGGCACACCTGTGAGGGTTTTTATTATTATTGTTGTTAATTAAATCAGTTGAAGAGGGAAGACCTACTTCCAATCCAGATCTTTGAGGTAGGAAGGTAATTGTGAATCTGGACCACACCTTCTACTGACAACCTATATAAAGGACATGGAGGTAGGAAGCTTGCTCTCTCTTTCCTGCTTGGTCACTCTCAATAGCAAGTCCATTTCTTCACTGGCATTAAAGCCCACTTCTTTGGATTCCAGTGTATTTTGAAGACCAGATGAGACATCCAGCCTTGTGGACTGAGCAATCACTGGATTCTTTGTCCTTCCATTGGTAGACAGCCATTGTTGAATGACCTGGACCAAAGCCTGTAAGTTATTCTAATAAATCGTTCTCTCTTGCCCCCTGGTTTGTCCACATTGCAAAATATTGTACAGCTTAGAGTAAAGACTGGAGAGATGGATTATGCTGTCTTTGTTTGGTTTTGAGAAATCTAGTGTAGAATGAAAGACTGAGGAGACACATTTTGAAGTCTCTGGCTTTTATGTCATTCCTAAACGGACCATCCTCTAAGACCACTGAGACCCCTCTAGTTAATTCCCTTTTCATATTCCTTCACCAAGTTTCTCATAAATAAATAAATTCCATCTTCTCAGCCTCAAGTACTAGCTGGCTGCACTATAGATAGTAACATGTCTCTTTTCTATATGAGTCAGGGTAAGTAATTGTAGTTGCTGTAACAGCTCCCACCTCCCTGCCGAGTAATACCCAGAGCTCAGAGGGCCCTTCTGTAGCAGGTGTCTGTCCTCATTCCAGGCCGAAACATTTTCCTCTGACACGGTCCATAAAAAAAGAAAACCGTATGCCTTTGAGTGACTCCAGGAGGGAACTAAGGGGATGAAAACGACAGCCACTTTCTCCTCATGTCACAGCAGAGGCCCTATATTTGGGTTCTGGGAGGGAGAGGACCAGATAAGCCCTATCTAGACCATCCTCCTCCTGCCCCACAAAAGGGGTCTGGAAAGACACAGAAAGAAGAGGCATGAAGGTGTTCCTGAAGGGTGGCAAGAGTCAGTTGGAATGATCTAGGGAGTGACATCGAAGCATTGCTCTTCCTGAGTAAATGCAATGCCACAATCTAGTCACTGAGAGACAGCTAAAGGGGTTGAAAGCGTGTTCCCTCGTCCTGTCCTCATCCTCTGATGTACTCTGAGCAGCCGCTGGCCTGGTGAAACTCATATTGCAGTCCATGCTCTCTGCCCTCTACCTAATAGTCTCTTCAGATTCCAGACTGAGGATTCTAGGGCAGAGGTCAACACCAGTGTCCCAATGCTTGCAGCTTAGCTGCCAGCATGCCTGCCTCTGTATAGCCTGCAGAAAGCCAATAGTGAGACATACATATAATACCAGTAGTCAGGAGGTGGAAGCAGGGAGATTAGGGGTTCAAATTCATGCTTTCACATAGAGAGTTCAAGACTGGTCTGGGAGATATAAGACCCTGTCTCAAAAAAAAAAAAAAAGACCCTGTCTAACAAGAAATAAAAACAACTTTAAAAAAAAGCTCCCTTCAAACAAAATCAAACTTTCTATAGAAAATACCTCTGGGGGCCCAGGAGAGATGGCTCAGTAGTTAAGACATTTGTTGTTCTTGTAGAAGATCTGGGTTCAATTCCCAGCACCCATATGATGGCTCACATCTGTCTGTAACTTCGGTTCCTGGATGCACAGACATAAATGCTGGCGGAACACTCACACACATAAAGTAAAATAAACAAATCATAAAAAGGGAAAATACATATGATACTTTTCAGGTAGACGGTGAGACTACATGATTGTCTAGGGATCCTTAGATTTTTTAAATATTTATTTATTTCCCCCTTTATTTGATTGTCTGAGACAGGGTCTCTCTTAAGTAGTTTTGGCTGCCTAGCACCCTCTTTGTAGACCAGGCTACTCACAGAGATCCACCTGCCTCTGCCTTCCAAACGCCAGTGTGTACCACCTTGTCTGGGCTTTTGTTTGTTTTGAGACTGACTTCACTATATTGGCCAGGATGGTCTAGAACTCGTGGGCTCAAATGATCCTCTGACTCAGCTTCCAGAGTAGTTGAGACTATCGGCAAACACACCACTGTGCCTGGCATATGCATATGTATATATATTTCACTTTCTTTTATTTATTTATAGATTGGGTCTTGCTATGTAGAACTGTGTGGGCTGAACTTGAACTTGTAAATTTATTGTCTCCGTCTCCAGAGGGCTGGGATTAGAGGTGTACACCACCACACTTCACCTTCCATTACTTAGCTGTTTTCTTCCAACTGCAGATGAGGATGGATGTACTGTTACAATGAAGTACTCATACCTTCAGGCATGAGGGCCAGGCCTCATCTGTAAGTATGAAGTCCCTTCTACCCTAACCTGCTCTGTAGACCAGGCTGGCCTTGAACTCACAAAGATCCGCTGCCTCTGTCTCCAGAGTGCTAGGATTAAAGGCCTGTGCCACCACCCACCGCCCGGCTTTACTAAACATTTTAACCGTCTATCAGACACCTAGGTTCTATGTAGAGTATAGAGATGCCCCTGGGCAAAGAACAGTAGCATCCTGGACTCACAGTGACCTGGGTCACCTGCGGAGTGGCTGTGGTGAAAAACAGATGCTGTCTTCTGGACATGACAGGGCCATCACACTCACTGCAGCTGTGGTTACCCGGCCCATCAATATGTCATACTGGATGGGGGATGGGTAAGGACTCGTGAGGCTCCATCCTACTTGAGGGGCTATTGGCAGTTAAAGGTTGCTGGCGGGAGTAGTGTTCTTCAGTTGTGTAGCTGATACTAGTTCATGCTCCAATAAATACCCTCCTCTATGCTCAGGCAAGCAACCCTAACTAATTTCAGTGGGTCACAAAAGACCAAATAATAATAATAATAATAATAATAATAATAAAAGAAAGAAAGAAAAAGAAATGAAAGTAGGGGAGGCTTATTGGGAAGAAAATTTTCAGCGGGTGACCAAAAGTCATTCTATTCGTGTGTGAAAATTTCCCTTCCCCCTCAGTAAATATTTGCTGAATTCATGGCCAGGCGAAATGAGTACAGCAACCAGTTTTTCACAGACGCTCCCTAGAGAAGTGGCTCCAACCCGATGAGGAGGGGGTCTCATTAAAACCACCTGGCGAAGTGTGTGGCGGTCCTGAGCCCCGCCCCTAAGTGGCAGGCGGACCCCGTCACATGTTGGCGGCTAGCCAATCATCTAGGGAGGGCGGGGCAAGAAAAAGAAAGCGAAGTGTGCTCCTGGCCTTGCGGACGTTCCTGTCTGAACTCAGGTCAATTCGGGTGGCCTAATGTCGCAAAACGGAGCCGATCCTGAGCAGCGCCAGCAGGCGTCGGAGGCGGACGCCATGGCAGGGACCTTCCGGGCGAGCGGTAATTGCAGGGCGGCCTGGACCCGCTGCAGCGTGTAGCCGAGCCTACCTTTTCTGTAGGAAGTTCTGGTCCCAACGTCAAGGTTGGCACCCCCACCCGAAGCCCGGGTGGCCGGCCGAGGGCAGGAAGGGCTTGCGGCCATGTGTCACTGCAAGGGTTTAACCCTTTAACTCCCCTCCGTCAGCCTTTAGCTTCTAGAAACACTTCGCGCAGCGAGCGCCCCTGAGCTTGGGTCTGGTAGGGCGTTAGAGCCATTCAGGGAAGGAGAGGGAAACAGGGAGCTTTACTAATTGATCTTGACTGACCGTCCCCAGAACACCAGCATATTCGCTACAATCCGCTCCAGGACGAGTGGGTGTTAGTGTCGGCCCATCGCATGAAGCGGCCCTGGCAAGGACAAGTGGAGCCCCAGCCACTGGAGACAGTGCCCCGCCACGACCCACTCAACCCGCTGTGTCCCGGGGCCACACGAGCCAACGGGGAGGTAAGCCCGAAAGCACAGCCACCAAGCGAGACAGGAGGAAATTGTTCTCCCTTATTGCTGCCCTTCACCCACAAGAGGGAGCAGTGCGCCTCTTTTTGGGTCACATCCTGTCAAGCAATTTTGATCCCTAGAGTGGGCCTTCCTTGCTCCCTAGCAGCTTGTGTAGGCCTTGAAGCCCGCCAGGTGGTAGTATTTCTAGCCTCTTCTTGTCAGTAGGTGAATCCACTGTATGATGGCACCTTCCTGTTTGACAATGACTTCCCAGCTCTGCAGCCCAATGCTCCGGATCCAGGTACCGTCAATCTAACCAGTGTTGGGTACAAGGGAGACTGTCTCTCTTGGGGGAACTTGTGCTGCAGAGAGTAATGCTCCTTTATCTCAGGACCCAGTGACCATCCTCTTTTCCGTGCAGAGGCCGCCAGAGGAGTTTGGTAACTATGGATTGCCCTATTTACAGCCCAGGGTCAAAGACTAAGACCTGGACTTGGACCAACCAACCCCTATCTCTCTGTCTTCCCGTCTTCCCTCCCCACGTAGTAAGGTCATGTGCTTCCACCCCTGGTCGGATGTGACGCTGCCACTCATGTCAGTCCCTGAGATTCGAGCTGTCATCGATGCCTGGGCCTCAGTCACAGAGGAGCTGGGTGCCAAGTACCCTTGGGTGCAGGTCTGTGAGGGGGAGGTAGAACTTTGGTTTAGGGGAATACCATTACTGCTTCCGCAGGGTGTAACCAGGAGGGGGTTGACTTGATGTCTCTTCGACTCTTAACCCTCTCTACTCATACCCGATAGATCTTTGAAAACAAAGGAGCCATGATGGGCTGTTCTAACCCCCACCCCCACTGTCAGGTCAGTATGTCAGGGCTGGTAATGGCTTTCTTGGCTGAGTCTCCATGCTGAGGTTGTGGACAGAACTAGATTAAGGGATGGATCCAAAGGAATGCATTAGCCATGTGGAGGCTTAGCGTTAGATAACGGACTTGCCGACCCTTCTTTTCTCTTGCCCCTTGACAGGTCTGGGCCAGCAGTTTCCTGCCAGATATTGCCCAGCGTGAAGAGCGATCCCAGCAGAGTTTTCACAGCCAGCACGGAAAGCCTCTGTTACTGGAATACGGCCACCAAGAGCTCCTCAGGAAGGTGGGAGAGCTCCAGGCCCTGTGTTCCCAAGGAGTCTCTAGCCCTTTGGCTGTCAAAGTGCACAGAAGGGGGATGGACTTCCTGCAGTCACCTACAGGAAGGTAGACTCGGGTGGTGGCAAAAGTGGAGAGACACAATCAGATCCTTCCCTTTTGCCTTCCTGATACTTTTCCCCTTCCCCTCTTACATGTACGCCCCATTTTAATCCTGTGTGTCCAGGAGCGCTTGGTCCTATCCAGTGAGCACTGGCTCGTCCTGGTCCCCTTCTGGGCAGTGTGGCCTTTCCAGACTCTACTGCTGCCCCGGCGGCATGTGCGGCGGCTGCCTGAGCTGACCCCTGCTGAACGTGACGGTAAGGATCCCACGTAGGCCCCTGGGACTGGGTGCTGAATAGACGGACCCTAGTGGGTCCAGCACCTATTTCCAGGTTGAAAACCAGGCTCTGATTCCAGATCTAGCTTCCATCATGAAGAAGCTCTTGACCAAGTATGACAACCTATTTGAGACGTCTTTTCCCTACTCCATGGGCTGGCATGGTAAGGCTTTTGGTGGCGGAGTAGCCCCAGTACTATTTCTGGGTTTCTAGGTCCTGGCTTAGGGAACTGCATCCCTACCAGGCATTAAAACATTTGGTGGCCTTAAAACATATCCAGAGCAGGGGTGCTGGGACTGAGGGTGGAGTAATTTGATGAAATTGTCACTGAATACTAATGGTTGAGTTTCCTGGTGGAAAATACTGGGAACTGTAGTATTTAGGTACCTAGTGTACTTTAGGGGAGGGACCAGACTGAAGACTTGAAAGAGAGCCTTCCCGATCATTCCATCTTTTTCTTGCCAGGGGCTCCCACGGAATTAAAGACGGGAGCCACCTATGAGCACTGGCAGCTGCATGCTCATTACTACCCCCCACTGCTGCGCTCTGCTACTGTCCGGAAGTTCATGGTCGGCTACGAAATGCTTGCCCAGGCTCAGCGGGACCTAACTCCTGAACAGGTCAGGGCTCAGCATCCTGAGTCTTCATAGCCCCTTTCATCTCATAGCCCCCCAACAGTCGTGATTCTGGGGGTCCTCATAGAAAACACAGGTATTCCTAAGAACTTGGAATTCCTAAGAACTTGAGCTGTTCAACCCCATCCCCTGTGACTTCAGCTGTCCTTGTTACCAGTCTTCCAATACCATAAGCACTCCTCAGTAATTCCGGGGATCAGAACCCCCATACCATTCTGAGTGACCCTTACTCTCCGTGTTTTCTCCTTGTCACCTTGTAGGCTGCCGAAAGATTAAGGGCGCTTCCCGAGGTACATTATTGCCTGGCAAAGAAGGACAAGGAAACAGCAACTACGGCTTGACTTGTGATGACAACAGAGCCTTGAAGCTTTCTGCCTGAGAGAACTGGGGCCTGGAGTTTGGGCAGCTGTGACATCAATAAAACTGCTTCTCAGATTTCAACCATGTTTTCTGACACGAGAGGAGTGTGAACTCTTACGTACTGGAGTCTAGGGGAAAGGCTAAGTGTGACTCCAAACACACTCTTTCCTGCCTACAGATGTTCAGAATGTAGGCCAGAAAGATTTGATGCAAGAATTCCCTCCCAAGCCAGAGGGATGGTGCATACCTGTAATTCCACCACCTTAGAGACTGAAGTAGGACTGTGAGTTTGAAGCCAGCCTGGGTTACCTAGCAAGACCTAGACTCTGAAACCAAAGCCAAGCTGGGCCTCGTGGGGCAGGGCTGTAATTCCAGCTACCCAGGAGGCTGAGGCGGGAGGATTGCAAATTCAAGGCAAGCCTGGTTAGCTTAGAGAGACTGTCTTGAGAAATAGCTCAGTGATAGAGTATTTCTCTGGTATGTGTGAGGCTCTGTGTTCAACTCTTAGTTTGGGGGAAAAAAATTGGACCTCCGATCTCTGAAGAGTATTCACTATTGTATCTGATCCTCTTGTGATACAAACATCATTCTAATTTTGGAGACTATTTTAAACTCCCCTGCTCATAGCTTTGCAGAGTCTTCGGGAAGGCCAGTGTCCTTTGTATCACCGAGTTTATTACTGTCAGTTCACCAAGCCGGGGCCTCCAAGCTTGGTGGGGAGAGGGTGAAGAGAATCCTAGTCCCAGAGGTCGGTCCAGACGCTGGGCTGCTGGCCAGGACCCTGGTTTTGTGAGTGGTCACAGCTAGACTCTGCTCCAGACCACAGGGGCTAAAGGGGCGGCTTGGGAGTGTGCATGTGGCTTGGTGTTCTTGGCTTCCTCGAGCCTCTGTGTGCAGTATATGTGGCCTCAGCTGTGCTGATAAAATAGTAGCTGCTCAGGCAGAAAACAGTGCTAACCATGAAGAGGCCAGCCAGGGTAGACCCAGAGTCTGCCCTCTCCTTCCTGGATCTGTTGTTTTTTTTTTTTTCTCTCCCTCCTTGTGATAGTGGAGGAACAACAGGCTTTTCAGTTTATGACACCAGATGTCACGTGGTGTTCTCCAGATTCTAAAGCAATGTTGAGAGTTGTGAGTGACGTCAGGAAGGCTAGAATGCCTTTCTTCTTTTGTTTCCCATGGGAACTGAGTCTTCGGGATGAGAAGTCGGCACGTAAAACCTGGACAAGTGACGGGATGACCTAGAAGAACCCTGGCTTCCTCTTCCTGCCTTCCAACCCAGGGCCCTTCCTCCTGGCACCTTGGAGGGATGAGGGGTGCCTGGGATTGGGAATATTGTGAGGGTCTGGGAAATCAAAGTAGGCATCTCCCTTGACACTCCCTGGGTAGTTAGCTGGTTTCTTAGGGCATAAGTACTCCCCTCCCCGCAACCTTGCCTGTATTTGGGATCGCCCGAGAAGTTCTAAAAACAGTACTGGGGTCTGGATGCAACAAGCAGAGATTGTGATTTAGCTGGCATGGGATGGGACCTGACTGTTTTAAAAGTACAATACTCGACAAAGTTTGAGAACTAGACCAACCCTCCGTTTTCCTATCTTATCTGAAGTCAGGGGCACCTTCAACAAATGCAGTCAGCTGCCCAGTGGTTCAGTAGGGGACCTGAGGCTGCGTGGACGGCTGGGAGGGGAAGAGCCAGAGCACCTTCAGGCCTGCAGTCCCGGGGAGGACAGGCCTTCACGAGAGGTATAAGGAATGCAGCTTCAGGTTTTGTCCTAGGAATCCTACTCTGGTACTCTCCTCTCAAGTTCCAGACGGGACAGGAAGTGTCCGGAGGAGGTGGAAGTGATTGGCAGTTGGAGGCTCCAATGGGCCGAGAGCCCCCTCTGTTCACCTCTCTCGTTCTATTGGCGCCTGGAGGAGCCGCCCCGACTTGCGGGAGCCCAGCGCAGGAGGGAGTAGTGGCCGGGGCAGAGGGCGAGGGTGGAGGGCGCTGGCGGCGGCAGCCGCGGAAGGTGAGGCCTGCTGGGACCCGGGTGTTGACACCCAAGCCTTGCCAAGAGGGGGCGGGGCAGGGTGGTGTGTGATCTGAAAGGCGGAGAGTGGCTGATGGACTATGAGTGTGTCTGTGTGAGTTCGAGGCAGTGTCTGTGGGTGACGATGTCAGTGTGTGTAGGCTCCGTAACTGCTGTCATCTGGTGTGTCTGTCAGCGAATGTGACTGCGTCTGAGAGTGTGATTGTAGCTGAGTCTGCATGTGGCACAGCAGTCAGTGGGTAATTTTTGGTGCGTGTTCGTTTGTGAGAGGGACTGTGACCGCACCAGGGAGTGTGTTTTGGGAAACTCTGTGGGGTCTGCCAGTGTGAGAGTGGATGGTTGGGTTTCTGTGTGATAGCGTGTGATGTCCGAAGTGGAAGAACAAGAGACTTGTGACTGCAGTGTGTCCTGTGTCCTCGCCTAGACGGTTTAGGAGTGAGGCTGTGTTCTGATATTCCGGGAAACTTCAGTTGTTGAGGGAGACTGACTTTCCTACCGGGCCTGCAACATAGACAGATCCACCCCCAGTGCACATGGCTCTCCATCTTCCTCTGCCCAAGATTTGACGGGGGCTGAGAATGCAGCTCTATGGTAAAGTGCTTGTCTAGCGTGAGCCAGGGCCTGGGTTTCATCTGAGAAAGTGAGTCTCGTCACTGGGCCACATGTACTCCAAGCCTCTGGATTGCTGGGATTACAGGTGCGGCACATCTGTTTTTATATGGTGCTGGGCATCAAACCTAGGGTTTTGTGCATGTGAGGCGAGCTCTCCCGAGTGAGCTCTATCCCTAGGCCCCTGGTCTACTGGTGTTCCTGTTTCATGCCTGACTCCGTTTCTTTCCATGGCTTCCTCTGTCCCCGGGATTATCTTTCCGGAGAGCTTTCTGTGTGTCTCCTCACAGCTTTTCCTCCCAGGTGTCTCCATGTTTCTGCTTTTCTAGTTCGGTCGCCAAGCCCTCTCCCAGTGTCCCTCTGCTTGACTTCCCTGTTTGCTCTTGTTCCTGGCCACACAGGGCTTGTAACCTTGACACGATGCTGATCTGTCACTAAGAGTTCTTGTGAGCTCCTTGTGGTGAGGAGTCGCTTTTAGGGAACACTGGGAAGGCCCTGCACCCCCTCACACATCACACGTGTGTCTTTGTGTCAGTGGGACCACTAGTAGACTGAGATGTGTAAATGTGTCTGGGTCTGAGTGTGTCAGGGTGACTGTGAGTGATCGTATCCAAGAATATGAGTCTGAGGGTAACCGTGAGTCTTGTATATCTGGCACCAAGGGATCAAAGGCATTTCCTGGTGCTGAGGCCCACCGGGTGAAAGGGGAGAATAGAAATGGCCCGAACTTGCAGGGAGGGGGGGAACTGGACTCTGGCCTTTCCTTATATTCTCCAGTGTGAGGCCTGTTTTCCCCTGGAAGCACAGCCAACTGTGCCCTTAGGAAACATCCGCTGGAGAATGGAAAGAATAGGAAGGAGTGTGTGTGTGCGTTAAATTTTTTTAATTGTGTCCACATGTGTTCAGGGGAATAGCTGTGTGTTAGTTCACTGTGCCTAGTGAGTGCTGGAGTAAATATGGTTTGGGTGGCTCCGAGAAAACCCAGTTAATCTTCTAGCAACGGGGATAAGCAAAAGCAGCCAGCCCTCCTCTCTCCCTCGGTCCTGGCTGTGTCTCTGGCTTCCTTCTCCAACTTGAGGGGGGAGGCCTTTTCCCTTCCCAGGCCCTGGGGTGGGAGGGAATGAGAGAGGAGGGAAGAGGAAGGGGTGGGAGGAGGGGGCCTGGCTAGGGGTGGCTAAGCTCAAGGCCCAGAGGGGGCGGGGCAGGGAATGGGAAGGAGAGGATGGTTCTGGGGTCCTAGAACTGAGTGGAGAGGAGACAGTGCTGGAGGCTGTAGGAGGAAGTCTTGGAGGCCATGGACACTCAGCCACTGTGATTATCGAGGTAGGGTGTGGCTACACGGGGTAAATGGGACTGAGGGGTGGGCCAATAAGATGTTCAGGGTGACACAGATATGTGGAGGCCTTATTCTATTCTACTCTGGAGGGGTCTTCTGGTACCCCTTCATTATGCCTTCAATCTGCTGCTCACCTCCAGCCCAGAGTCCTTTCTCCCAGCACCCCACTCCTCTATATGGACATTTCTCAGACTTTACGTTTCTGCTGCCCCCACTGTGCAGACTTTTGCACACTGGCCCCTACCACCATTGCCTTAGGTCCTAAACACTGTTCTTTTAACCCCTACTTGGTGCTGTGGCCCCCACACCAGGCGCCTGCTCCTGTAGGCTCCCAGCTCCCCTCGCTTCTCCGCCACCCCGGCTCCATCTCCATCTGCTGGCTGCTCGCCCGCTCTCAGCCTCTGGCAGCAGCCAGGGCATCTGGATCCGCTTAACTCTGTAGCCCCAGCCGGCACCCTAGCTCTATCCAGCCTCACAGGCTGAGACCAACAAGATTTCAAGCCAGGCCCATCTGAGTGGCCCAAGTACTGGAGTAAGACGCCAGACCCAGGCCAAAGGCTTGGCAGTCAGAGAGGGGCTAGGCCTCAGGTTGCGATTATAGGGTGCATTTGGACCCATTCTTGTCAGCTCTTTATCTTAGAGTGATGAAGTCTTATCTCACTTGCTGTGTGTTGGCCAGAGGCAGTAATTAGCCTTGGTCAGCTTGGGGGGGGGGGTGGGGGGTGGGGGAGTGGATGCCAGAATTCCCAGTGGCTGGATTGCATGGGTTAATGGGAGTGGCTGAGCCAGTGCCAGTCCTTAGTGCCAGGGGTGGGCGCCAAAGGTGATGTGTGTGTGTGTGTGTGTGTGTGTGTGTGTGTGTGTGTGTGTAATCCTGGCACAGTCTGTTGCCTCTGGCTTTTGTTCTGGGCCCTAAGCCCAGAACTGAGATGAACTTTGTGTTTGTGTGTGTGTCCTCCCGTGTGCATGCTCACACACACACAAGGACAAATATATACAGCACTGGGTATTTGGTGGGAAAGGGGCCTTCAGGTTAGAATCCTCAGTCATTTCCAATAGCTTCGTTTCTCTTGATGCAGCTCATGGATGGGGAACTCCTAAGCACCCCTTTTCTCCACAGATGAGCAGCAGCTGCTCAGGGCTGAGCAGGGTCCTGGTGGCTGTGGCTACAGCCCTGGTGTCTTCCTCCTCCCCCTGCCCCCAAGCCTGGGGTCCTCCAGGTAAGAAAATGACACTCTGTGACCGCCTTAGGAGACTTACTATTCTCACCCTGGCCCATTCCTGTGGCCTAATTTAGAAGCCTCCCCGCCCCCATCACACACACACACACACACACACACACACACACACACACACCATTTCTAACAGCCTGGGTCCCTTCTCTGTCTTGTCCCATCTCTGGCTCGCAAGTATAACTTAATGTTTTGACACAATGACCCCACCCAGGTCTTAGCAGCCTGCTCCATACCCTTACCAGTCTCATAAATGGAAGGGGAGTTTAAAAGAAGTGCTTCACCCCAGGAATGCCCTCCACAGGGGTCCAGTATGGGCAGCTTGGCAGGTCCATGATGCTGTGCTGTCCTGGAGTGAACGCAGGGTAAGTGTTCACCTACCCGCTAATCTCGTACAAATGACTCTTCCTTGACCCTGCCCAGACCTCATGCTTCCTCCATACTTGCTTCTTCTGTCGTAGTTCTTGCCTCTGTGTCCTCACCAACTGTCCTTATTCAATAGAAAATTCAGCCAGTGTTGGGAATGTAGCTCAGTGTTAGAGCTCCTGTCTGGTACATATAAGGCCTTGCGGTTGATACTAGTACCAAAAATCATCACTTAGTTAGCTAGCCGTAGTGTTTGAGTACCTGCTAAGTGCCTGGTCTGTTTATTGGAGGCTCTGAGATAACAGCAAGATGCATGTCTTCAAGAGGTTGCATCCTAGTGGGGAGGACAGACAGTAAGCACTCAAGAATCTTGCTAGGTCTAAAAGGAGCAGGCATGCACAGGTTAGAGGAGGCACACTCCTGGCCAGGCAACAGCTTGTGAAAATGCCCTGAGGTGGGACTGACCTTAGTAACAAAGAACTGAGGAAAAGAATGTGGCCTGTGGGGGAAGGAAGGGTGAGGTAGCCCAGGAAAGGAAGGCACAGGCTAGATCACAAGGGGCTTTATATTTGGGTTTAGTCTCTTTTTGCATTTACTTTATTACTTTATCTATTTATTTTGGTACCTGGGAATGGTCTGGAACTTGCTCTGTAGCCAAGACTGGCCTCAAACTCATGAGTCTCCTGCTTCAGCTTCCTGAGATAATTGGCATGTACCACCGCATCAGGCATGGGGGTGTGGTTTATTGCAAGTGTGCTTAGAGGCTCTGAGAGAACAGCTGCATGGCCTGACTTCGTCTCTCTCTGTCATTCCTTCGTCTCACCTTCAGGACGCCAGTGTCCTGGTTTCGGGATGGGGAGTTAAGGCTGCTTCAGGGACCCGACTCTGGACTAGGACACAGACTGTTCTTGGCCCACGTGGACAGCACTGATGAGGGCACTTACGTCTGCCAGACCATGGATGGTGTATTTGGGGGCACAGTGACCCTGAAGCTGGGCTGTGAGTTAGGGAAGGTGGCAGTGAGGGGCCATTGGATTCCCAAGGGGACCTGGGACCTGAGCAAGCTCTCTGGGATAGGGAGGAGCTAGGGATGTCTCAGTCTGTAGCTGGACCCTGTGTGTCTAGTTCCCCCAGCTCGTCCCGAGGTCTCCTGCCAAGCAGTAGACTATGAAAACTTCTCCTGTACTTGGAGTCCCAGCCAGGTCAGCGGTTTGCCCACCCGCTACCTTACTTCCTACAGGTATGTGTGGGTGTGTCTAGTATGTGTGCTTATGCAGCTTGGGATGCTGGCACGATATGGGTGTGGCTAGCAAGGGAGGGAAGTGCTGACAAATTCGCAGAGAAGGCAGGGGGCTCTTTTCCTCCTGACCTCACATGGCACCCTTTCCATCAGGAAGAAGATCCTACCAGGAACTGAGAGTGAGAGGTAGGAAGGGAGTGAGAGGGAGGGAGAGAGAGAGAGAGACAGACAGACAGACAGACAGACAGACAGACAGACAGACAGACTGGGTACTCTTAACTTGTGACCTATTTGCAAAACTCAAGACCATATCCTCCCTCCTAGGGAAAGTTCATCCACAGGGCCTTGGCCATGCCCACAGGACCCTCTAGAGGCTTTCCGATGTGTGGTCCATGGGGCAGAGTTCTGGAGTGAGTACCGGATCAATGTGACTGAGGTGAACCCACTGGGTGCCAGCTCATGCCTACTGGACGTGAGATTACAGAGCATCTGTGAGTACCCCAACCCCCAGACTCCCATCACAGAGACTCCAAACAGATTCACACCCTCCCTGCCCCAACTTCCAACTGGTCCTCTCCTTCTTGTATATAAAGAGCAAGTAGTCACAGGGATGGGTACACACTCCAGAGCAGTGGTTCGCGGCCCAGTGGGTGGCCACATGTCAGACATCCTGCTTGTCAGATATTTACATCATGGTTCATAACAGTTGCAAAATTACAGTTAGGGAGTAACAACAAAAACTTTTTTTTTTTTTTACCTTTTTTTTTGTTTTTTCAAGACAGGGCTTCTCTGTGTAGCTTTGGCTAGCCTGGAACTCATGCTGTAAACCAGGTTGGCCTTAAACTCACAAAGATCTACCTGCCTCTGCCTCCTGAGTGCTGGGATTAAAGTTGTGTGCCACCACTGCCTGGTGCAACGAAAATAATTTTATGGTGGTGGGGGGTCACCCCCACATGAGGAACTGTATTAAAGGATCACAGCATTAGGAAGGCTGAGAACCACTGTTCTGGAGGTTGCTACCACTATCTACAAGTTAGTTGCTGCTATCTTCTTGGCCGCCTAGGTAACTCCTGCTTATAGGCCCTAGGCTGAAGGCACTCCAGTCTCATGCTCTCCCTGCCCAAGGGAAAGGCTTGCTGATCCCTTTCTCTTGATCTGAGTGTGGGAGAGGAGATGACTGTAAAACTAGGCTGGAATTTGGACCAGTGAATCTTCTGTGGATGCAAAGAAGAATCCTTTATCACTCAAACTTATCAAATTTCTGCTTATTTTATAACAAGGATAACAGATAGGCCCTGAAGCTAGATGAGTAACCAAATTTGACATTTTCTTGCCCTCCTGGGAGTGTCTGATTAAAACATCTTTACGCACACACTGTGGGAAATGGTGAGGAAGGGATGAATACTTGTCACTCACCTTGAACTTTGTGTCTGGCTACCCTTAGTGCGTCCCGATCCACCCCAGGGACTGCGGGTGGAATCAGTACCTGGTTACCCGAGACGCCTGCATGCAAGCTGGACATACCCTGCTTCCTGGCGCCGCCAACCCCACTTCCTGCTCAGGTTCCGGCTACAATACCGTCCAGCACAGCATCCAGCCTGGTCCACGGTGAGGTCTGCAGTGTGTCTCAATCTTTCTCTTCAGGTTCTGTGTCTTGTTTTGAGATCTTGAATACTGTGTATAGCTTCCAGGCATGGGCAGGTCTCAGAAGACCCAGTTTTCCCCCTATATAGCATACCCGGGTGTTGAGCCGGGGGCTGGAGTTGCCCCTGGCAGGACAGAAACTTCTGTCCTGGGTAACTAACAATAATGCAAGCCTGTCTATGAAGACAGAAATCGGTTTAAAAATCACTTATAGGGACTGGGAAAATGCAAAGCAATTGTGCAAACATTGAGTTTGGATCCTCAGAACCCACATAAAGCCAGGTGACGCCATGCAGTTTGTAACCTGAGCGCTCCCATGGCAAGATGGGAGGCAAATCCAGCAGAATCTCAGGAAGTTCCTGGGCCATATGCAGCTGAGAACAGCAGCCTGTTTCAAACAATGTACACGGAAAAGACTTACCCCTGAGTTTGTCCTCTGACAACCACATGCATGTTGGGTTTGCTCACATGTGCATGCAAACACATACACACCAGATAATAACTTCTAGAAAAGGGGGTATCTTACCCAGAGAACCCCTCATATGTCTAGCTGAAACCAGTGAATCTCCCCACAGAGTGGTCGGCTTCTGTCCTGGGAGGAGCCCCACTCGTTTGTAACCTGCATTCGGAGCTGTCTGCCTGCAGGGTACCTTGTTACACATTTTACATACGTCACCTCTGTGAGGTATATTCACCCCTATTTTACAAATGAAGAATTCAAGACGTAGAGAGACCCCAAACAACTCAGCAAGTAGCTTAGCAAGGTTTTGACCTAGACAGACTGATACAACAGTCCCTCTAAGTGACCACTGCAGGCTTCCATTTTTCTAACCCCAGATATAGTTTCTGTCCCACAAGCCACCCAACATGGGGCCTAGACCCTCTCTACCTGATGATGGTGACAGTGTGAGAGAGGGGTACTTTTTTCCTGGCTGGGGCTGGGTAGGCTCTCTACTAAAAGCTTGAACCACATCCTGAGGAACCATTTTTGCCTCCAGGTCGAGCCAATTGGCTTGGAGGAGGTGATAACGGATGCCGTGGCTGGGCTGCCCCATGCGGTACGAGTCAGTGCCAGGGACTTTCTGGATGCTGGCACCTGGAGTGCCTGGAGCCCAGAGGCCTGGGGTACTCCTAGCACTGGTGAGAGACGAAGACAAAGAAGAGGGCAGAGCCCTTACCCCCAAATCAGCTGTCAGCTAGACAGCTCACACATGCCCTGTCAGGGTCCTTCAGGCACTGCTATTGCTGTCCTACGCAATAGCCTGCAGCCCTATCCTAACTTTAGCCCGGAGTCCCTACGGCTGCACTTCTAGACTCTATGTCTGCAAGTCTACAAGCCAGATCCCCAGAAACTGACCATACCCTCTGAAACTGCTTCTTAGGCCCCACCTCAAACTTAGGTTCTAGTCCTGCCCTTGCTTTAGAAAGGAAGAAGCTTCTAGGTACACTTCTCAGGTTTCGTCTTCCTCAGGTCCCCTGCAGAATGAAATATCTGATGGGAACCAGGGACACAAACAGCAAGAGGCAGTAGGTCAGGAGGACGGTCCCACCCCTCCAAGGCCATCCTTGCAGCCAGACCCAAGACCGCTTGGTAAGCTTGGGCTGATTGGTAAAGGTGTATGGAGGATAAAGGTCCAAGAGAGGTGTCACCAAGCATGGCTAACGTCGCTCTCCCAGTGACACATGGCCTTCTCCCTCAGATCACAGGGACCCCTTGGAGCAAGTGGCTGTGTTAGCATCTTTGGGAATCTTCTCTTTTCTTGGCCTGGCTGTTGGAGCCCTGGCACTGGGGTTCTGGTGAGTGAGTGCCACTGGTTCCTTAGCTGTGACTCCCCCCTCCCCCTCCCAGCAGCTGCTGTGATGCCCAGAGACCACATTCATCCCCACCCGAAGGGCCTCCTGCTGATTGCCTACTGAACCTGTCCGATTTGGGAACCACTTCTTCCCCCTAACTGTCCTTTCCCTCGTGATTTTCACTCGTTTCTCACTCCTTGCTAATAAATCCCCAAGAGACCTGGTTCTGGGGAGACAGCTACCCTTTTATGCTACAGGCTGAGGCTGAGACGGGGTGGGAAGGATGGACCTCAAAAACCTGGGCTGTTGGCACCAATGATTCCAGTGGACAGGCTTCCAGGTGAGTAGCACTTAGTAATGCATGCCCCCACTCGAGTGTCTGGCTTAAGAACCTGATGCCCTAGTAATTTTATGGGTACTGGGGATCACTGGAGTTGGGAGCTCCTCATGTTTATATCTATGCAAGGGGAGTAGGGTAGACCTTTCACTTTTCAGTGCCTGGTCTCAGAAATGAGTCTCTTCCCTCCTGGAATATTGGGAATTCCAGGTAGCTCCCTTCATTTTCAAGGTCTCAGAACTGGATATCACCCCTTCCTCCTTAAATGTCTTGGATAAATGCTTGCTCCTCTCCCTGACTTGAAAAATTAAAATTTATTATTACTGTGTGTTTTGTGTGTGTGTATGGTTATGTGTACGCAAGCACATATGTGTCATGGCACATGTTGGGAGGTCACAGAACTTGTGGAGTTCTTTTTTCCACCTTTACATGGGTTCCAGGGATTGAACCCAAGTCATTAGACTTGCTTGTCTGGCATATACCTCACCCACTGAGCACCACTACCCACTCCTCGCAGGCCCCCTAGACCCAGAGCTATGTCTACTTCCTTATCTTTAGGGTGTCAGGGCTCCCTCAAAAGTTCCTCCTCAGAGTGTTTTATTCTCAGGATGTCAGGACCCAGTCCTGCTGTCTGACTTGCTCCCTGCCCTTGTAGGCATTCCAAACCTGCAGAGGACCCAGGAGAACTTCAGCTGATTCCGCCTGTAACCCTTTCCGGCTGGGGTGGTTAAATGGACGGGCAGAAAAGGAGGCAGAGCAGTGTGGATCCCTATGGATGGAGGTCTCAGTTGGAAGTCTGAAGCCCTTTTTTTTGAGACCCTATATTCCAAGCTTGCTGCCAGCTAAACGCTGCCTGGACTTCTGATGTCATCCTTGAGGTGGAAGTTCACCCAAGGAGTGTGTAAAGATGTGCATGTCTGTGTCCACCTGTGACTGTGCATACGTGAGATAAGGAACAGACATTCTCTGTATGTGTGTATATAGATGCTCGGAGAGTGTGTGCAGACCTTGGCCTTGGCCCTTGTGGGGACTGTGAAGAGTTGAAATAAAGAGACTGAAGAAGTTTTTGGATTGCTGTCTAATGTTGTTTTATTAGTTTTGCTGCTGGGGGCTCGGGTACATTTTCATTTGTAGTTCCAGATTTAAGTTGGACAGAGTCCCCTGGAGCCTTTTCCCGTGACGCTCAAGCCACCGAGCCAGGCTGCCGTTCTGAGGATGAACACAAACAGTACGCCGCGGCAGGTGAAGCCTGGGAAGGGAAAAGTCCAAAGCTATGCCCAGATTTGGGGAATGAGCTTAGGGAGGGTTCAGGGGTTAGGGCCAAGAGACAGATGAAAACTTGAGGAGGCACCAGAATTAGCACTGGGGCTGGGATTGGGAGGTAGAGGCAGTTCCAGGTATCAGGGCTGGGGGCAGAGCTCACACAATAGCCTGAAGGTGACAGTCCCCATCGGCCTCCTGCAGTTCCACGTGGAGAATCTTCCTCAGTAGCCTGCTTGGGAGCGGTTGTCTATAGAGCTGAGTACAGCAAGTAGAGCTGGAGGGCAGTGGCAAGCCTGCAGAACAACAGGGTCCTGTCTTCAGAAAGGTCTGGAGCCACAGCCACTCTATGAAAGTTGAACTTTCTGGGTCCCATCCCTTCTAGTCCTCCACTCATCATTCTATGCCCTCCGAGAACTTACCTGTTCCAGAGTCTGGGCTCAGAAGCAACAATATCAACAGGAGGCTGCTGGTGGGCGAGAGCCCCTCCATGCCGCTCAGCCTCGGTGTTTCTTTCTCCTCCTCTCCCTACCTTTTATCTAGTTGCATTTTGCCTGGGGCACTAGGTGAGTCAGAGACGGGTGGCAATACCTTGCTTATCTTGTGATGTGGCTCTTGGCCTGTGTCACTGTCCCCAGCCCTTTCTCGGACAACCATCTTTTCCCACTGGCTCATAAGCCCCAAACAGAGAACACTGAAGAGAGGTAGTGAGTGATGTAGGGGCTGATGTTACAGCGGCTTAGGGCAGCCACGATCCACTTGGACATCTACTAATAGGCATTTACAATCATAGTGTAGCCACACATTCATCAGTCATACGTTGGTCACGTAACCTCATAAAGTTACACCCATGACTGTGTAATCATAGACAAAATCATACAGTTCCAGTTATTCCCAAAAGCCCCACTGCAATACATTTGCATTCCCACCACTATCCCTCTGTGCTATCATATTACATATTCCGACAGAAGGGTTTATGAGTGGGTAGGAACAGAAGGCAGGCCAGCACTAACCTGCCTTTATCTTCTCCTCCCTACTTTCTGCCCTGGCCTGCCTATTTATCAGGAGAAAAGACTGGGTCCCTAAAACAGACTCTACTTGGCAAAGAGAGACTCTCGCCATGAAGAGGAGGTAAAGGGTAGTGGATGAGGAGAAATAAAAGCTCTTTCATGTCTGACTGCTGCTGTTAAAACAGGAGGAGGGATATCGTGGCACATGTCTTTATTTCCAGCATTTGAGAGGTAGAAGCAAATCACTCTGAGTTTGAGGCTAGCCTGGTCTACATAGTGAGCTCCAGAGCAGCCTGGGCTACATAACGAGACCCTGTCTCAACAAACAAACAAAACTCCCAGAAGATGAAAAAGCCCCTCCCCCAAATCTCACCTTCTTGCTTCTGCTTGGTCTTGTTCCACGGATGCCAGCTTGTCAGTGCGAGCCTGGGGGTTTCCAGACTTAGTCTCTGGCTTGTTGGAGATATCAGACTCAAGAGCTAAGTTAGGTCTCTTTTGATTCAAATTTCATCCTCTTTACACTCTGGGCTTGAAGAAATATACCTCTCCCAACCCAGGTTCAGAAATACTCATTTCCCCAAACTCTGAGCACCCATTCTACTATTCCCTTCCCTCCCTTCCATGCAAAAGCCCCTCTCATCTTGAGGCAGTTCTTTCTGGAAAATTATAATCTGCTGGGGGTGGGGCACGCTGGTTGGGTTAATGGTCCAGACGCCTAATCTGAGGACTTCAATTTTCAAGTCCTGTTCTGGATTTGAAATACAAACTGAGCCACAACCCTAAGAATCCATCCCTTATCTATACGTTGTGTTCTCTGCTCAGAGGCCAATCATCTTCTGTAGATAGAGCTCTTGGACTGCCATGATCTCTGAGCAGCTTGTTCTGCTATAGCTAGGCTGAGAATCTAAGTCTTGCTTCCTCCTGTCTAGGGTGAGACCCAAATGCTCTTCTGGATACTGTCTCAGAGGCCTTCTGACTGTCTGGATGAGGCCCAGTGCTACACAAAGCTTGTGAAGGGGTCTTTGATGTAAACACGTGAGGAGATGGCTAAAAGTTTGCACAGTTTCAGGTATTTGGAAGTAACCACAACCTAGAGGCTACTCATCCTGAAGGTTTGGAACCCGAGGCTTTAGGGTATCTCTTACTCCCTTTCTAGACCTGTGTTCCAAGGCTTGGGTGTAGTACCCCCCCCCCCAAAAAAAATCCCCCAGGTTGTATCATCCTGTCTTATTTGTTTTGTTAGCTAGTTGCCTGCTATTTGGGAGCTCTTCTGGACTTGTCAATCTAGAGATCTTTGGAAAGGAGAAACATTTTCCTGGCTGTGCACCCATCTCTTCTTTGGCGTCTCCAAAGATACAAAGGCCAAGCCTTCCTTTCCAGCACAAATGGTTATGGCCGGGGCTGTGCCAGGCTAAAAGTCAGCTTTGGGCTCAGCCCAAATCCAGGCTGTCTCCCCTTTCTGGTGCTGGAGTGAGTGTCTATGGGGAGGTGAAGGAAGCAGCCTGACTCTTGCCACCTAAGAGTTGGTTCCAGAGTGATTTGGGTTGGCAAGATAAAAACGGGTGGCGGACTCTTCTAGGGATGCCAAGTATCTTTAAAACTGGGTTCAGGGGCTGGCAAGATGGCCATGGTGACAAGCCTGAGGACCCGAGTGAACCCTGGAACCCATATGGTAGAAAGAGAATGAACTCTCTCAAGTTGTCCTTTGACCTCTGCGTGCACATGCACTGTGGTGAATGGGCACACATACACACTTGTAATGAAACAAACAAACAAACAAACAAAAAGGGATCAGACTGGAGGGAGCCGGTTTGGGGTTTTAGCTGTAGGAAAGGCCTTAGACCCTTAACCCTTGTCACTCTCTTGAACTGGTTCTTCCTCTCTCTGACTCTGTAAAACTTTGGCTAAAATGTTTTAGAGTCACTCTCAAGTAGGGAAGATTCTTCAGACGTCTGGCCAAGTTCCAGCTAGAGGAAGGCAGTAACAGCTGGAGTTGTGGGAACACTGATAAGTGGGGGAAATATGTGGCCTACTGTGTGGGTGCTTTTGGGGAGGGTGTGGCAGGGAGCCAGTCACTGATAGTAATTAGAAGAGGACGATAATTAGGGGCCCTTAGGAGCAACGGAGGCCTTGACATGCAAGGGCATCCTACCAGGGAGGGACGCCCTGTGGGTAAGAAAACAGCAGGTGTGAAGTGGGATTCCCAGCACCAAAGGCAGCTGCGGCGGTAAAGTCAGGAAGGCAGTGGGCGTGACTTTAAATCTTTAATGCACCGGCTGTCTGTGCAGCGCTGGTGGGGGTGCGACATAGGAGACCACGACCTGAGCGCTGGGGAGCAGGCCTCAGGCCGCTCGACAAACAGCTCATTAGGCCCCGCAGAGGCTCCAGCTTCTGCTCCCGGGGGTGCGCCGAGCTGTAGGGCGACCCGACAACGACATGAGGCCGGGCAGGGGCTCCTGAACTCCCCCACATCCGTCCTCCGACACTAAAACTCGTTCATGCCCCCACGAGATCGCAGCCCCCTCACCTCCGCTCCCTGCGCCACATTCGCAGCCAAGGAAAAAAGTAGAAGCAGCCCCAGTAGATCCTGCAAAGAGAAGGCAGAGCCGGACCCGGAGGGGCGGGGCTGACCCACAGACCCCACCCCTGGAACCTAGCCCGCAAAGAAGCCCCGCCCCCAGGGGCTGGATATCCTCAGTCCACGCCCCTCTAGGGCCCGCTCCGCCCGCCCCGGGATGCGCACCTTCCCCCCCCCCCACCCCCGGCCTCATATCCCTCCTCCGCACCACCCGCCTCCACTCACTCCTCCTCCGCTTCCAGCGCCACTTCGTATCTCCTCAATCGCGACATGTCCCGGGCTCCAGCGGTTCCTGGGGAGCAGCATGATAGGAACACTTATTCCCAGCCGCGAGTCCCCTTCTCCATCATTCCCAGGACGATTCTGAATAGTCCTCAGGTACTCCGAGGCAGGTGGCCCCCCGCAAGCCAATTGCCACATCGGGACAGGATGGGATTGATGATATGGAAGTCACTGGAAGTTAAGGCGTTAGAAGGACGGTTATCTAGGGACCGGGGCGTGGAGTCGTCAAGGAGAGCGGTCTGGCAGCAGTGGGGCTGGGTCATTTAGGGCCCTGGATGAAGATTTTTTTCAGGGGCTGGAGTCACCTGAAGGGGGGCTCAGGGGTCGGCACAGCCTAAACTCCCCGCCCTCCCTGGCTCCGCCCCGGAAACGGACCGTTAACAATTACATCACAGGGATACCTTCGCACTTTAGGGGTGTGGCTTGCGTATCACCCGGAAGGGGAGGAGCCAGTTTTTCGTCGGTGGAGGCGGGTTTGAAACGTTACGCTAAGTAGTGGCCCTGAGTTTTATCACTGAAGGGACGTAGTCGGAGTTTATTAAGATGCCGGTTACGCAGGACCCTCTTTTTCTAGGGACGGAGCCAGGTTTTAGAGTTCCATACTGGTAGGCTGTGGCCTTGGCACGAGGCCGTAATAAAAAGTGCTTTGGGGCTCTTCTCATAGTGTCTTCCCTACCCCGCGCCCCCACTTTCCTGACTTTGACCCCGTCAATTGCTTTTCTTGCTTGCCAAGTTCTTTAATGACCTCAGGCCAGAAGGAATAGGTCACCAGAGAATGCAGCCTAGAGCGAGTTAGGGTATGGAAATATTTCTTAGTCAAATCGTCTAATGGACAGAGTATCATCGTTCCTCTAGGGCTGAGACTGTGATTTTTATTTTTTTCAATCATTTAGTCAAATGCTATTGAATGTCTGTCTAGCCAATGTTGTGCCCATCTTATTTATCTCAGATTTTAGCTTGTTGATAAGCGTCTTGGGAACTCTTCCTGTAACGGGCGTCTAGAGTGGGACAGCTGTTGGAGACCTTCCCCTTAAGTCTGTGGAGATGCTTTGTGGTGTTACTGTTGGAACTGAGTGCAGTACAAGTTGGTAATTATACTTTCTCATTGGGTGGATTCCACACTGGCTTCCTGTTTGTGAAAGCTTTTGCGGGGAGTGGTCCCTTTTAAACTTCTTGGTAGGTGCATTAGTTTATTACTCCTTGGTTTCTGTTCTGACAAAGACAGCAGTCAGGAGTTTGGATAAAACGTCTGGTGGGAAATAAAGCTTAACATCTCCCCCCCCCCACACACACACAGGGTTTGCTGTCCTGGAACTAGCTCTTGTAGACCAGGCTGGACTCAAACTCACAGATTCGCCTGCCTCTGCCTCCGGAATGCTGGGATTAAATGATTGCGCCACCACCACCAGGCTTGGCTTAACATCCTGCAGACGGCTGGAGTTCGGATTCCAGCACCTACACTGGGTGGCTCACAACCACTGTAACTCCAGCTCCAGGGAGAGCTGATACCTCTGACCTCCAAGGGCACCAGCCCTCATGTCCTTATGCTCCCTCATAATTAAAAATAAAGTAAATCTCAACCAATGCACATAAAATAAAATTTAAAAATACAATAAATCTTTAAAACAATTTAAAAGTATGTGTGTGCAAACTTAGGGAAAGTTTGCAGTACTGACCTCATAAAGTATTTGAACTGTCATTCTCAAGGGTGGAGTCAGGGTGTGGCACAGAGTTGAGTAAAGAGTAAGCATCCCTTGCTTTCACCTGTCATGATGGACAGACTATACCTGTAACTGTGCGCTAAAATAAGCCCTTTCTCCCCTAAGTCACTTTCGTCAAAGGGATTCATGACAGCAAGAGAAGAGAAGGTAAGACACCGCACCTCTTTTCTATAGCTGAGATCTGTGGGCGTTGGAGGAGTAGGGAAGAGGAGCACAATTGCAGGAGCAGGACAAGGCTAGAGAAATTCATCTCTCAGACTCTCCAAGATCCTCCCAGACCCGCAGAGCCGTCATCTAGCTCCACCCCTCCTGTGCATGAGCAAAGCCAAAAGAAAGTTCTTTAAAATCAGATCCAATCTGATTTAAGCCTTTCTGGTTGCCAAGATTTTATCCTCTGGGCCTGGCTACTCTTGCCCCTCTCTTCCATTGACCCATACTCTATGTTCCGTAGCAGCCAGGAATCAAGGGATGGAAACAGTCCCAAACACCCCATCCTACCATACCCTCCCTATCTTGGGGATTGAGGGATTTTTGAGGAGAGAGGTTGGTCAGCTCACAGATAAGCAAGGGAAATTGGGATAAAAGCGGCCTGAGAAGCAGGTTCAGCTACAGGGGTTACCAACTTGTCTGAGTTCACTGAGGAAAGTGTATAAAGTACATAAGAGGACTCACAAATAGACAGAAAGGGACAATGGAGTCTGGTGTGACTCAGGTCCCCAAAGCTGTCTTTGCCCAGGACATATGTCATCTTGTCCCGTGCTGCATTTACACAGCAGCTGAGGGACCCTAAGGAAGCCACTCCGGGTTTTATACTGAGGCGAGGTGATTTGCTGTGCTATTGTGTTGAAATATTTCCTGTTTCTGGTCTGCTCGTCTCAAGATATTTCATTCCTAGCATATTCGATGGTTATTCTTGAGAACAAGTTAGAAAGGGGTGAGTGTCCAAGAGCACTTGGAGAACTGTCCTACAAGACTCAAAGATTAGAGGGGACAGGCTCTTGGGGGATGCTAGGCTGTTTTCTAGTTCTCAGCCTTGGGCTGTGTAATGTGATGGATTTAACTGTGGTCTGCATTGTTCTGGTCTTTCTTCTCTTCCCTCTGTCTGTCTACTTATGTCTATACACCCACCAATCTTTACCCACTCTTTCCTCTCCCATTATTCTTTTCACCTTTTTAAACATCTTCATCTCCATCTGTATTACCAGTTATTATCTATCACTGTGTCCATTGATCAGTTGTGACATTAACATTTGTTAATCCTTAAATGACAAGTCCCATGCTGAATACTTTAAGTTGTCTCATGACCACTTGATAAAATAATTGCTTGAGGGCTGTTTTTGTTCATTCAGGCCACTTTTCTTCCTCTTTCTTTTCATCATCATCATTATTAGAGACAGGGTCTCACTGTGTAGCTCTGGCTGTCCTGGAACTTGTAATGTAAACCAGGCTGTCTTTGAACTCACAGAGATCTGCTTGCCTCTGCCTCCCAAGTGCTGGGATTAAAGGCTTGCAGCACTACACCTGGTTCTGACTTACTATTATGTTTGAGACAAGGTTTTGCCATGTGTTCCAAGCTGGCTTTGAACTCAGGCAATCTTTATGCCTCACTCTCTCCAGTGCTAGGATTATAGGAGTTTGCCACTTTATATGGTAGTGGTGGTGGGAGCTATCAACCACAGTGCTGTGATCCCAGTACGCCAGTCCCCTAACATGACTGATTAAAGACCTTAGCATCTAATACAAGCACAACTGACAAGAACTTTTCATGATATTTGAAGTTTGAATGCAGGAGGGCCAATGTTTTACATCTGTCTCTATGAAAATTTAGACCTGACAAAGCACTGAAACCAAAGCAGCTGAGCGTTCAGAGCTAAACAGGACACCTGTTTCAGCCCTTTTCTGCCCAGCTGTGGCTTGGGCAACATTGCAGAAGAGAAGTGGGAAGAATGTACGGGCTGGAGGATGGGGCAGAGTGCTGTGAAATGCTCCTTTCTGACCATGAGTGACGTGAGTAGCCCACTCATGAGTGCACAGGAGTAGTGGTTCCCTGCATAAGACCTTCAAAGATCAGCTGGCCAGAATTCTGTCATAGATGGGGCAAACGATCCCCAGCCCCCATCCCTGAGGATCCCCTCCTGAGGAGCTAGTAGCAGGTAGTAGCTGCTGGGGGAGGAAGAATCATTTCTTTTGGAGGATGTGACCACTGGCAAGTTTCTCATGCTCTAGTGGGTGGCCCCACACCCATGCACACATCGGCAGTACTAATTGGACTTAGTTGGTTATCAAAAAAACCTGAGCAAAAACTTGGGAGGGAGATGTGTTGGAAGGATATGGGGGAGCTAGAAGAAGGAACTGGGGGTAGATGTGTTTATTCCGTTGTATGCCTATATGGAATTCTCAAGAATAAAGATAGGTTAACAAAAATCGGGGAGCTAGAGAGATGACCCGAGGGTCCTGTTCTTGCAGAGGACCTGAGTTTAGTTCCCAGTATCCATGTCCGATGGCTCACAACTGCTTGCAGCTCCAGCTCCAGGGCATCCATCACCTCTGACCTCTGAGGACATCCAAACACGTGTGTCCATAGCTCCATGTATACACAACTACAAAACAGTAAAAACAGATCTAAAATAACCCCTTAGACTCAAGGTGTTTAGTGGCCATGTTTGCTGCTGCTAGAACGGCAGGAAATGACAAGAATATCTTATGGTAAGAATAAGAGCCCCCACACAGAATGAAGGGAGGGATGGAGGGAAGATGTAGACAGAAGAACACTTGCATCCCTGCATTACTGGTGATCAGGGTCTGGGTTGGGCCTTTCCAGGTCCTTGACTTCTTATCCAAAGAACTGAAAATAGAAACTCAAGTTTGTATAAGTAGCAAGGAAGCTATTCAGACAAAGCAGCAGGAAAGGTCAGAATACCCTGCATGAGAGCATCCAGCCACACGAATGAAGACCCTCAAGGGCCCTGATTCTCTTTCTTTTCATTTATTTTTAGTTCATGTTCATTGGTATTTTTGCCTGCATGTATGTGTGTATTAGGGTGTTGGACCCCTGGAAGCAGAGTCATAGACAGTTGTGAACTGCCATGTGGGTGCTGGGAATTGAACCTGGGTCCTATGGAAGAGCAGCCAGTACTCTTAACCCCTGAACCATCTCCCCAGCCTAAGGGCCCCAATTCTTATTTGGGGCTTCTTTTCGTGGGGTTAAAGAGGAGGAGTTTGGTAACAAGGGGTATAGTGGGGGTGCTTTTTTTTTGTTACTGATAGATTATGTCCTATAATCATTTTCTTACTACACAGGACCATTTTCATAATGCTCTGACTTTAATTATGTGGACATCCACATGATTATACATTGAAGAGTATTCAATATACAATAGGGTAGCCTCCCTGCGTTTACTTGAAGACAACATTTTGACTTATTTCACATGCTACTCAAGCTGATTAAGGCTGAATCAAGTCTTTCTATCTTCAAACTGGGTACATTGGGGATACAGTTGAGTGAATAGAAAGGTCTAAATTTGATTATCACTAGGAGCTGAGAAGTCTATTGTTCAGAGATGGTGGTGTACAGGAGCTCCGAGGGTATCCTGAAGTGGCCAGGGGCATTGTTTCAAGGGAGGTGTATGTGTGTAGTGCAGCATGTGAAGGAGCTAAGCTGCCAAGTTCATTATCACTAGGAGTGGGGATGCTGAATGACCCAAATGGAGTCCTAGGTTACTAAACTATTTCCTATGCTTGCCTGTTTCACCTGGATACAATCAGGGATAAAGGCCATCTTCCCCCACCCCACCTAAGATTTTATTTTTTAAAAATTGTGTGTGTGTGTGTAGGTGCCCATGGAACCCAGAGAGTATACCAGATCCCCTGAAGCTGTAGTTATAGGCGTTTATGAGTCACCTGAGCTGGGTGTTGAACGTGAACGCAGGTCCTTTGCAAGAGTAGTACATGCTCTTAACCAAAGCCGTCTCTCCACTCCTGAAGACAATCTGTTAACAGATCTAACGAATTTTGTTGCATGACATGACAAACTTTTTGCATTCCTTTTGGCTCTGTTTCCCAAGGGCTTGGAACTGCACATCACTGTGCCTTTGATTCAAGTTTGTCTTTTTCAATATTACTATCCCAGCTCTTTCCTAGCGCCCATGAAGCCCTGGTTTTGATCTCTTCAACCACAAAAGCTGAGTGTGGTAGCTTGTAGTTCCAGTCCTTGGATCCTCTACTACATAGTGAGGTCCAGGTCAGGCTGGCTTATGTGAGACCCTGTCTCAAAGTCCAGACAAACAATAACCAGACCAAAAACAAAAAACAAAAAACAAAAACAAAACAAAAACTCTGCCCCAATTCTCTTTTAGAAAGGATTTATT